ACTGTGTTTCTCAGTGCTCTGTGTTTCTCAGTGCTCTGTGTCAGAACTGTGTTTCTCAGTGCTCTGTGTTTCTCAGTGCTCTGTGGTGTTTCTCAGTGCTGTGTTTGGACTGTGTTTCTCAGTGCTCTGTGTCAGGACTGTGTTTCTCAGTGCTCTGTGTTTCTCGGTGCTCTGTGTCAGGACTGTGTTTCCCGGCGCCCCCGTGTGACCGGATCTCTTACTCCGCACGTTGAGGGTGATGGGGATCTGCGCCCCGCCCACGGCGTTGGTGGCCGAGCACCAGTACTGGCCGCTGTCCCGGCTGCCGTCAGTTTCACGGACGGTCAGGTTGGACCAGGAGGCCTCGCGGTGCAGGAGGTACTTCTGAGGGGCGTCCCAGACCTGCTGGTTCTGGTTGTTGTACCAGGTGATCTCGGAGGCGGGGTAGGTGGCCTTGAGCACGCAGGTGAGCTGGACGTCACTGCCCTCGTACACGGACACCACGCTGCGCTGCGTCACCAGCACTGGGGCCTCTGCGGGACACAGGGGGAGGTCAGGACCGGGACAGGGGTGGACACCACTGGGCACTTGTCGCCACTGTGAGGGACACTCATTTCTCAGTCTGCGGAGGCTGGGCTGAAATAAAATCACCAGTGCGTTGCTCTGCACATCTATGGGCCTGTCCAGGTCCTGTATCCTGTATAAATTCACCAGTGCGCTGCTCTGCACATCTAGGGGCCTGTCCAGGTCCTGTATCCTGTATAAATTCACCAGTGCGCTGCTCTGCACATCTAGGGGCCTGTCCAGGTCCTGTATCCTGTATAAATTCACCAGTGCGCTGCTCTGCACATCTAGGGGCCTGTCCAGGTCCTGTAACCAGCATGCCTGGTGATGGTGATGAAGTTTAGACATCACCCTCTCTTATTCCCAGCTCCTGGCCAGTGAACACCACTCCTCCAGGTCCCGTGTGTGTGTGCCCCAGTTGGGGTCTGGACAAGCCAGCTGGCCTGACGGGCGCTGCTGCTGCGCAGCTGTGACAGGAAGTGAGCAGGAGCCGTCAGGGCAGGCCGGAGGCTGGCCCGGGACGGGTCCAGGGGTCCGTTTGCAAGACGTCTGAAGAGGCCGCTCTGCCCTTCCTGTTCCCGCAGGACGGAGCTCGGCCGGTCCTTACCCAGTTTCAGCTGGCACTGCCTGCTGGCAGCGGACAGCGGGTGCTTGGCCCGGCACACGAACTCCTTGCCGCTGTAGGTGCCGCTGGACTTGAACACCAGGATGTTGGCGTTCTCTTCGGAGCTCCCCAGCACGGCCCCGTCGCCCGCCGCCCACCAGAGCAGCGCCCGCGGCGCGCCGCCCTCCCAGGCGCAGGACAGCATCAGGTACTCGTTGTTCCGCGTCGCCACCGCGAAGCAGCGCGGCTCACCAGGGGGCAGCACTGAAAGCACAGGGACAGGGGCCCGGGAGGGACACTCAGGACCGATACCGGCGGAGGAGTTGGAGCGTGATCGTGGGAACTGCTCTGTGAATACGGCACTCAGAGCAGACCGTGGCAATACGCTCTTCAACAGTATCGTGGTTTGAGAGGTGTGAGAAACTGCCCTTGGAATCAGGCACACTGGACTGAAATGATCTAGGTGAGTGATAGGGATGAAAATGTAGACCTAGCCCAGGGACAGTGGCAGTGAACGGGCACGGGGTCCTGGTGCGATGTGATCGGACAGCACAGGGAAACTCTCCAGGTGGGCCTGATGACGACCGGGCAGCCCTGACGCTCATCTTCACCTCGACTCAAACTCCTGCCTTTAGCACCTGGAAAGGCTGCAGATGTTACTGGTTCATCTTCTCAGAGTCAAACTCAGCCTGGTCTTGTGTCCAGAGGGTTGAGGGTGTTGGCCAGGGTGTTCAGTGTCCAGGGGGTTGAGGGTGTTGGCCAGGGTGTTCAGTGTCCAGGGGGT